GCAGGAATGGATTTACTGTCAAGCTAATGAAGCCTAATCATTGGGGCCCCCTCCCTCTCACAGGCCCCTTCCCAGGCCCACAAGCAGCCCCAGTGATGGGTTCACATGGTTGTAAGCTTCTGTAAAATCTGTCAAAGTAAAAGGTATAATCGAACTCATTCTCCTAAAGAGTGCCCTCAAAATAAGTTTCGGGCCACTCACCAACTGGGTCTGCCCTGAAGGAAAAGGCTGGTAGCAGGAGGAATGCTGCTTCCTGAGAACACTGGCAGAGCAGGGGGAACAGGAGCTTGGGGTGCCAGTCAAATTTCTGGGGGCCTTCTCTCTCTTTTTTATTATTTTTTTTAAAAACACCATTTCCGAGGTTCACAGTTCTCATACCACGATTTTCCTTTTTGCCTTTACATCTTTGCAAATGAAGTCACAGAAGACATTCAGCTGTTACAAACTTCATGTCAAGCTTTGAAGTGCTTTTTAATAGCAGAAATATTTGGCTCACGTGTGGGCTTTGTAGCTATGGTAAATACCTCTTAGTTATCTGTCGCTACTGTTATTCCACACCTCCAATTTGGAGGAGAAATTCTGCATATGCATAGAGGCACTAAAAAAGAATATTGAACTATATCTCAGCTCTTTTGTGAACGGTTTCCTTTTATTTCTTCTCACATGGAGCTAATGCTTTCATCATATTGTACTGGTTATGGGTGGGAAAGCAGTAGATAGAAGGGGAATGCTGATTATTACATCATTGGTTGGCAGTTTCCTCTTAGCTTCTTGAAGGTTAAGTGGTCAAGTAGCTCCTTAATATGAGATCAAGGCATTTCAAGGACTGACTCATCCACCTGTTTCCTGGCGACGTGCTTTCGTAGACTTTGGACAAAATGCTTACAGTGGTTAAAAAAGAAACTGACCACAATTAATATGAAATAAAGACAGAAAAAAAAAACCCTCATCTTGGAAGTTTCTGTACGACTACTGACATACAGACTATATGTCCAGGTACATCTCAGAACAATATATTAGAAATAGCATTTTTGAGAACAATAAATAGAAACAAAGGCATTTTGGATCTATCCTGTGTTGAACAATGACATTTTGCTTCTTTATGTAACTTCATTATTTTATGAAGGGATGATAGAAAATACTATTGCACTCCATAAGTTAAACACCTGACATTTTTATTCTTCAAAATGCAACATTTTAGAATTCTAGATATGTTTATTAATTAGTGATTATTAACACCCAGTAAACAACATTATGTCTTGTAAAAACACAATCTCTCTGCACAGCATGATGCTGAAATGTATTATTCCCTGATTCCATATGCTGAAATACACTCAAATGGTCACAAATGACCTTAAGCATTAAATAAATGTAAATGAGGACAACATAGAAAATGTGTTTTTGATTGATAACTAAAAGACCAGGTTGAAAATCACATCCAAAAATGAAGTCTTCCACAGAAGGGTATGGCAGTCTGCACTGTGGGATAAAAGCTGTCCTAAGAATGAAGAATACCCAGGTAGGAGATTGCTCCTTCTCTGGACCTACTGGAGGTTTTCTGCGAAACAGAACTGGTTTATTCGTTTATTTGAGAAACACAGAGCATATTGCCTCCTGTGCCATCAGCCTACTGTGAACATCCTAATGCAGGATTCAAAAATTCGTACATGGACACATTATATTCACCAGTTAATATAAGAAAAAAGAAGTTACCACTACTCCATATCCTCATCCCAGTATGTTTTCCACTTTAGTTTTTAAGCATTGTTGCTATTCATCCACCTTTGTTCCCCTGCAAGCTGAGCAGTTTGGGGTGGGAAAGCATCCTCAAACATAGAGAAAACTCAAAATGTCAAAGGATGACAGATTAACAGTAATTAAAGAATTAATTAAAACTTAGATTGTTCTTCCAATAATGTCTGTGGTTAAACACATAAAGGAAAAATACAGATACAGATATTTCTTGTGAAAACTACTAAATGATTACTTATTCCTCTAGGTCCATACCACGGGGGCAAAATTAAAATGTAGCATCAGAGGAAACACCATTGTTTTGGTTGAGGGTAAGCAATTCTCCTACTTTGGATAAGAAGAAACAGAATCTAAAAGGGAATGAATACCTAGACTATTTTAAAACCATGAAACAGAACAGGGTTTCTCAATCTTGGTTCCATTGACATTTTGAGCCAGAGAGTTCTTTGCTGGGGGGAGGGGTGTGGGGATGTCTTGCACAGGCCTAGCGGCATCCCTGGCCTCTATCCACTAGATGCCAGTAGCAACCACCTTGCCCCAGTTATAACAATAGAAAAGTCCCCTGGGGCAAAATTGCCCCCCTCCACCAGGTTGAGAACCAGTGAAGTAGAGCCATTCACAAGAAGGTCCCAGTCTGGGCTTCCCCCAACCTCATACTGTACCCTCTCAATCCTTAAGTCATTCCCAACCCAGTGTGTTTAACATAGTTATCTTCAGTTTTTCTCATCTATTAATTGTAGGTAATGAAAACGCCTGCCTGCTTCATTACAGGTTCTTGTAAGCATTAAATAAGATACTTTTAAAGTACTTAAAACAGTGCCTGACCCACAGTAAGTGTTTAATAAATATTAGCATTGTTAGTTTTAATAATCATCCATAGTACTGAGAAAAGCAGTTCCAACCAGAGTGTTTTAATGCAAAAAGGTATCTTACCAGCTTGATATGTTCCCAGTCTTAAACACACCAGCCGTCTGATTCCTTGTGATGATGTCTCTCACATCTATAGGCCACAGTTAAGAAAGCTTCTGCAGTGATTGTCAACTGACTCCCTGCCAGAAAGAGGCCCACAAACACTATGATATTCTTATCGTACGCGGGATCAGCATGGTGAGAAGAGCTGTAGCGTGTGAGGCAGGAGTAGAAGGGTGTAGCCCTGGCTCTGCCACCAAATGTTGAATTACTTGTCACAGGCAAGCTCTTTTAATTCCCTGGACTGTAGTTTTATCACCTGTGAAATACACATTTCAGGGAGCACATTGGCAAGGCCCAGGGTGATAAGCACTGGTTAGGGAAGATGACTGTGCCATAGGTGCCAGGCCCCACTTGCTTAAAAGAGCTAGAAGCCCCAAGGTTAGCCTCTTTCCGTCAGCAGGGAGGGCAGTGGCAGTCTTCTGAGACTCTCCAAGTTGAAGTATTTTCAGTCTCCTAAATGCCAGTGGGGAGAGTGAGGATGAGCTGCAGGGAAAGGCTTGGGGGGAAGTGAGAAGGGAAAGATGGAGAAAGGCTGGAGAATCTCTGAGGGAAAACTAATTACTGAAGAAGAAAATTCTTCTGAAGTGAAAGGCCCCTTGAAGAATTGTCTTTACAGACTTACAGTTTGGCCTTTGGCCATTGGCTGACATGTAAGGACTTGTACAAAAAGAGCCATATTTATTGAAGCCATGTTTTGAGGAGCTGGTCCATTAGAGCACAGAGTGCCATCTTCATGAGGGCCCATGGGAGAAATCATGTCAGGTTTCAACACTGGGAAAAACTGGACTTCAGCTAGTTCCACTTCAGCTTCTGGACACTATAAATCTTATAACTGCTCCTGTTTCTCTTTTTGCTCTGGTCCTTGTGCAACTCAGAGCCAAATGGATGATCTCAGCTGAACAACTACAAGTGCTCTATGGCGCATCTTTCCTCTACCGGTCCTATTCCTGCCTTCATGATGTTTTCCTGGCTTTCTACTGTCCAACTGCCCTCGCTTTCTCCTTTATTTTATATGGTATATTCTGTGTGTCACTGTAATAAGCCTTAAAATCCCTCTTTTGGAATAAAGCAAGGTTTAAATAAACAAGAAATAAAATAATTCCAGTGAAGGTTGCAAGCTGAACTAAATTGGGTCCATGGGGAGGACACCAAGCAGACAAGCGATGTTCCCCCATTGCTCAGAAAAACAGATTTCCTGAATGCTCAAAGCAAGCACTGGCCAAGATCTCCCTGCAAGAACAGAGCCACAGGACATTTTAACCTAAATCTCTGCTTGAAACACCCGGCACACCCATTTCTTCTCTGAGTGAATAAGCAGGTACCGTGATAGCTTTCTTCCCCCAGGAGTGGGTAGGAAAAATCAATTAGGTCTCCTAATGAAGGGCTTTGTTGAGGTTTACAAAAGTGCTATAATGCAGACTTTTTTTTTTTTTCCTGGGTGAACTTTCCTGTATGCAAATTAAATACCGTTAAATTACATTCATTAAAAAAATAAAAGAGACTAATTTGCCTACTTGTTTTGATTAACTAAAATGACACATCGGCCTACAGTTTTGTCTATTTCAGGAAGAAAGTATTTCAGGAAAGTCTTCTAAATGAAATGTCTTGTAGAAAAAGGACAGCTGACGTCTTTATTCTGAGAACAAAATTAGTAAAGAGTCAGCTGACAACTGGTTTTGATTAAGTTCCCCCACACTATGGCCACACCCTTCTCCGCGTTTCCATGACATCCAAACCACATGCCATAATGTGCTCGGTACACCTGTAGCGTCGTATGAGTACATGACTAATTTATCAAGCCAAACATATTATTTTGTTAGTGGAGGTAATACGTTTTATAAAATAGTCACAGGGAAGTTAAATTATATAACTCAGAAAACCTATTAATAATTTTTAGTAAACATCTTAACACTATATACTTTTATACAATTTATAAAACTGTGAGTCCAGGTGATCAGGCTGAAGCAAGAATATGTATTTATATTCTAGAAGCAATTTTTTTTTTAATGAAAAAATTCACAGCAGTACTTAGGCTGCTTTATTTTTAGAACTGGGAAGGAAATATAGTTTGTGGTTTAGGAGGTGTTTTTTATATGAAAACAAGTACCTAGAGAAAAAATGGCCACAGTATATTAAAATATTTCCTTAAGAGATATATTTTGATATTCTGCTCCCCGCCCTTTACTTTAGGTCAGATTCTGAGGTGGTTCCTCGGTCAGATTCTGAGGTGGTTCCTCTGGCTGGCGCTGTGTCCAATAATAGATTTTCTCATTCTTCTGTGTCACTCTGGGGTGATAAAGGCAATTCAATCAAATCAAGCCAGTCTGTCCAGGATAGTGTTCAACAGCATGCACCAAATCCTATTCTCTGAAGGCACCCACCTTCTGGAAGACTCCAGTGGGAGACGCTGGGTGCAAAGAAAGCCTTAATGTGATTTCTGATTAAATAGATACAGAGCAATCACCTTCAGTCTCCTAGTCTGGGCACCTGGACTTCTGAGCTCTAGGATATATGCTTGTGGCTAAAAGAAATCAGGATTCTCTAACTAGATTTTCTCTTCAAACAAAGCATAGTTCAAGAGCGGGGATCCATCTATTTTGTTTCTCAGTTGATTTTTATCCTTAAAAAAAAAAAAAAAAATATATATATATATATATATATATGTTTGTATAATAATAGTTATTTGAACAAATTATATATGTTATATACATAAATATAATTAAGCTAATTATATATAAATCTTGTTTAAAATATTAGCCTCCTCCTGCAATTAGTGATTATTATATTTATCAGTAGCTGCATATATTCAATACACTTTTGAGAGTTGGCATTGTTCTTTAAGCAAGAAAGTATTTTTAAAATAATAACATTGTGATTCACAAAGCATTACTTTCTTGGTTTATGCTACCTTTAGTTTCATTGCACCTCAATGATGTGGCAATATTTGTTAATTTAAATGCTGTGAAATATTCTTAAATGTGCTTATTACTCATATGAATTGAGAGTATGATGTAGAGGCATTTTGAACTCTGTTAGCAATGTCAACTGTACATTTATGGATGAGAAGCCTTTTCCTCCAATACAAGATGATACTCACCAAATCATTCTAGTTTTTGGTGAAGAGGTGGTTTAATGGGGCTGGCAGGGAAGCTATGAAGTCACATGAACCTGACTTCTAGCACTGGTTCTGATACTTAGTGACTGTGTGAATTTGGGTAAATTAACTTCTCTGAGCTGCACCTCAAGAATAGGAATAATGTAGCTATTTTATAGACTTATGGAGTACCACATAGTAGGTGCCTAACACATAGTAGGTGCCTAAATCACGTCAATTCATTATCTTTTTCAATAATTCAGGCAAAAGCTTTGGAGGGATGAGAGGCTGGTGATGGTAAATAAAGTGAGGTTTGGCAGTTAAGCTTTATTTTTTTTCCCTGTTGCTCAAAACTATTATGTGAACATTTTTGTTGTAGAATTTAAATGACTGGAAGGAATCAAAGAACTTCTGCCCTGTAGATTTTCAGTGTTTTTCACGTGTATAAATGTGCTCTGTATAGGTATAGTCTGTGTCCTCCAAGAACAGGAACTTGGTCTGTCCTGTTCACTGCTATATCTTTCGCACTTGAAATGGCATGCAGTCAATAGTGGTTTAATTCATTTTAATTAATTAATTAATTAATTAGCTTAATTTATTAGCTAACTTAAATTTAATTTTCAAAGCTATTTGTTGAACTCCTACCCAATATGAGGCACACAGAGTCCATTTTGGATCTATCTAGTAAATAGAAGAACAGCTGACACTGATATTGGAGGAAGGGGCCTGGACCCAGGATGATGGCCTGGCATTCCCAAGGTCTCAACCATCCACAGGCTGCACAGTCACAGGAAGCTTTATTTATTAATTATTCAAGTCAGGGATGTTGTTAAATAAAATAATGTTAAGCCAGGGGTATCTTCTTTAAAATTCACAGGAGATTTACCAATTTTTGGAGAATCCTAAGCTCAAGATCATGATCCAGACGGTGCATATTGTGGGGATAAGATGCTTGGGTCAGAATCATGAGCCTGGGTCACCACGCATTGCCATATTCTGCAGATAACCTGCTTGGTGTTTACTAAGGACGGGTCAGGGCAGGGTACTTGTGTTGGGTGAATTAGTGAGTGTTCCAGAAAGGGCTGCTCACCTTAGGTGGTGTACTTTTATTCATTATGATTTGGAAGAGGCTTAGCATCAATAATAACTCAGTATACCATTTCTTTCCCCTATTCTTATGTCACTGTCAACACCAGCTCCAGACTTTATTGAGTAATTATTATCTGGGGGCACTTGGAGATTTCTTTCTTCATTACACTAAAAAGGCTGTGCCAAAGAAGAGGAACACAGTTCACACTATTTTAGGATAAATTCGAGAACTGGATGAACCAAATGATCCCATTTCTGATTTATCCTTTGTTCCCTTTGGGTACAGATAAAACAGCATCTGAAGGGCTCTCAGCTAGGGGCTCTGCGTTAGACCCAGCAGTGCAGTTTAAAGGCCAAGGAGAACCTCGGGGACATATACCCATGAGTCTGAGAAAATATTTAACAACATTCCCTTATACCTCAAGTCTTACTCTCTTTTCAGATATCTCTGTTTAATAAATCTCAAATCCACATCTAGCATTCTAGGTTCAAGGTAGAGAGCTCTAGAAGACACAGCCAAATCTGGTTGATACATTTTATGGAGACAATAAATAACCTTACACCTGGTTGATATGCTTCTATGATATAAAGATTCAGTATGCCTCCGTTCATTGCCTCATATATTTTAAAAATAGAAATAACAGAAGATAAACAGGAAATATCAGACAATGCTATTTTTAAAGGTAAAAATCAGAATCTTAGAAGCTTAAGCGACTAGGAAGTAAGACTCAGTTGGATTCACTCAATTCAGATGCCTAGAACAACAAAAATAATTTTTTAAATGATGAGAATAATATACAGGCCAATACTCAGATGTGATGTGTGATTGCCAGGTCGATTTTCAATTACATTTCACTGATGTATTCATTTGTTTCTTAATGTGTTCATCTTGCCCATTAAGAATAATTAGCAGTTTTGCTTAGAGATTTTCTGGCTTCTGGCAATGCTTCTCCCTCTTTTTTTGTTGACATCCACTTTTACTTTTTAGAAAGTAATTTTTGGATAATATCCTACAACTGCTATATAATTTAGGCTTCCTAAAATTTTAAAGGAAAGATGTAAACAGTAATTTTTAAATGAATTTGTTTCAATCTATATGCATCAACAGTATGTGATTCAGTGAATCTGTTATTTTACAGAAAATGGGCACACAAATAGAAAAAAAAATATTTCATTCATATTAACCTCACTTGGTAAAACAGCTTACAACGAATGCCAGTTATAAGCTCTGGTAGCAAATCAAGAATAACATTAGTATCAAAAGCAGGAAAAACATGTTGCCAATTTTTAAGGCTTTATGCATGCTTTTTTCTCTTAATTAAAAAAAATTAGATCTAGTTACAACAGAAAAAGGCACACAAACATAGAACAACTGCATGATAAAAACTAAACCCTGTCAAGAAAGTCCTAAGAGATGAAATAAAACACACTAACAGTTTTGGTCTGCATCCTGAAAGGACCTACTTTATCTACATTGTAAAGTTCTTCCCCTCCTGCCCTTTGGCACCCTGCTATATTAAACCCATTGTAAAACCCAGCACAATAAAGCACTCTCAGGGCTGAGCTTCTGAGGACCAAATGTTAAAAATCCATTTTCTTGGAAGGGGGCTGTACCAATCATTTCTTTGAAAGGCCAGCGGAGTGAGTACAGAATCTGAGATTTCCTCTCTGATTTCAAGAGCTGGCATGGAATCTTTGCTGTTTAAAGCAAAGGTGCATTAATTAATGACTAGCATTGCTTCCCTTCTTTGGAAGCTCTGTAGTTTAGCTCAACAATAATTTTAGTACAATTAAATTTACATACTGACCACAGATGCTTCCCATAGTTTGATAAAAGTTCGAATTGGTTTCTGATGCTATTAAATAAGACACCTGCTGACTTGAGAAAGACCTCAGGTTGCTGGGCCCAATCTGAAAGTTTCCGTGGTTAAAATGACCTTCTTTTTCCCAATAATCCTGCTTCCCCCCCCCCAAAAAAAAATCACTGGGGCTGAGCTAGCATACCTGACTTCCTGTTGCTTTCTGTGTTCCCTGACATGTGGAGGAGGAGCAGAGTGAAATGATACAGTGCATGGAAGAACTCAGAATAAAGCAGAGTGAATGAAACAATATCGCTCATCTACAGGAATATTTTGAGAAACTTGCGACAGTCTGAAGATCATGATTAAAATCCTGCATTTTAAAAAAGGAAGCACCTTTTGTGATCTCTTTCCCCTGTGTGAAAGGCCAAGATTGTGATTGGCTGTTTTTCCTTCCTGATTTTTTTTTTTTTTTTAAGTGTGTCAGGCAATTAGCTGGGTGGGGCTCTGTAGAGCACACAAGTGCCGCTGAACAATATTAGCTACTGTGCTTCTGGCACCTCCTTTCTCCTGTCTGAGCAGCCTGATACAGCTACTGCAAATTTTATTTTAAAAAAATTATATAGCAGAGGCAGAAGAAGAAAATCGAAAATAGGCTCTAGTAGGATGCTTACCTCTTACAAAAATCAAAACTGCTTTGGCATTTTAGGGGCCTAAAATCCAAATAAGTAGATTGCCTCTTTCATAATGTAAATGGAAGGCACACCAAAAAATCCAAAGCAAATATATCCTCCACTTTTCCTCTCAATTTCTAATGGCTGTTAACTGCTCCTGAACAAATCAGCTCGATTGCTAAAGTAGCCACAAATTATGCTTGCTTTCTTAAAGTACAGTTCAATTTTCATGAACTCTGTGTACATATTAGTAAAGCATAATCTAATATAATGGGGTTTGAACTGTAATAGCATAGCAGAATGAAAGAGATAGCTTTTATAATCCTAAATAAAAGGAAATAATGAAAAACTGATAGCCGTTTCCAGTGAGGAGATATAGGGAACTCCTCGGGAATTAGAGTAGGTATAATATTGCATGGTCTGCACATATAACATCAAACGGAAGAAAGGTAATAATGAACATAAAGCTGGAAGTTAATTTTTACAAGCAATATCCAATATAATAAATGTTAAATCATTTATTTTATCCCGGCAAATTTCAATGGAAATAAAAGGACAAGAGTGCTTGAAAATTATTATGAAACAAATGTTCTTATTGCTTTGAGTGGTCCACAAATCATAAGCTCCTTTAATGAGAAGTGACTATAAAAATCCATTGAAATTAAAAAAAAAAAACCACTTAGTCGTATCCAATGAATTCCCTATATTTCTACTTTTTCTTAATTACTTATCATGTGTGTGTGGGGAACTCTCTTTTAATACCCCATGCTGTCTTTCTTTATATCAATTGTTACTCAGCCGGGAAAAAGGAATGAGCACAACAAACCCGTTTTCTATCTGAATAAGGATACTTCTGATGGCCTTTTCATTCCCATCAGTTAACAGAACTTCTTTGACATCTGCAGAAATAGCAACCTGAAAAAAGAAGGGAGCACAGCAAACAATGAGCAAATATGCTTGTCTGTGTGGAAGTGAAGACAGGAGTGACAAGCCTTCAGTATCATGCTTCCTCACCTATTTCTCTGTAACAATCTTCAATCTTTTTTCATTTTATGTCTGCATTATTTTAATCATTCAATCAAATCAGTCAATACTTTTATCATTCCATTTGCGGGAGCCTCTATCTTGCTATCATTCTGTTCGGTAATTGCATTGTGACAGCGGATGATGGTATTCTGAGAGGCTTTCATTTGTGGGCTTCTGTTTATCTAGTAGAGCCATCATACAAGGCTGTCACTCTGCCTTTCAGCTTGCTTCTGTCTGACTGCCTGATGCCCTTCATATAACTTTGCATTGCAGGCAGATGGCTTTGTGAGGGTAATTTTTTTGTGAGCTTTGACATGCTCGCACATTGGGCTGTAACCCTGACACATTGTGTAAGAGCGACAGGTTTGTCAAATGCCAATCAGTGTAACAATATGCTTTTATTTGTAGAGACATAAAAACTTGTCTAATGCACTGTGCTGCTACATAATATCTCCTGAATACATGACTCAGAACCCAGAGAATGGGGAACGACGTTCCTGAATGGCCAATCTAATTCAAAAGAATCTAATTACTGAGCGCTCTGGATCATGTTTGTTGGTGTAATAATGCAGGCAAAACATTAGCAGCTATATCATGGTGCTCCAACTGTGATTCGCCGGGCTATTCCTGTATCTTAGCAAATGGGACTATAATCTGAAAAAAAAAAAATGCTTTCGCTATAGCAAAGAAACACTGTGCGAGGCCTGGAATGTCACAACAAGCAATATTGACTACACTGAGGTAAAATGTTTCTGCTCATCGAGGCAACCATAAAATCAATATGATCCGAAAGTAAGTCAATCTAGAAGGTCTCTCAAGACCCGGCAGCTTGACCGCAGCTGATGCTGTTGACGGTTCTCTGACCCAGCAGTTGGAGGCCCTGGAACATTTTTCCTTTTGTTCCTCCCTCTGAATGGGATTGGAATTGAGAAAAGACCTACCATGAGCCCAGCCAAGCATGTCATGCCACCCCCTAGCTCACACACAGCAAGGTCCCTGAAAGAGAGAAAAGAAATGGTAGAACCCACACAAATTAGATGAAAATGGTCAGAGAGATATATATGTTACAAGAACAAATTGCCATCTGCAGTAAGAACGGCGCTACCAGGAAGTTGTGGAGACATGACGAGGCTACCGCATGTAGTTTTGCGTTTTAAAAATAATTATGAAATAGAAAAGTCACAAAGCAGGCAAATCAGTGGGGGTTCCCTCATTAGTGTTCACTGCAACATTACCACCGCTGAGCTGAAAAATCGGAGAAGGTTCCCTTTCTTTCCCTTGTCAATGGCGCTGTCTTTTAGAACTAAACTAGCTAGAGTAGCGAAAGATAATTGTTAGGAAAGGATAACACTGTTAATCCACATTCATTCCTTCAAAAACAGTTAGTTAGACAAGTAAATGAAGAATATATATGAGTGTGTATATACCTATATTATGGTCACATACACACAACACACACACACAAATACATGCAATCTTGAATTAAAAAAAAATTCTAAGACAAACTGAAACATTTTGGAAAGCTGAACCGACC